TCTCTCTCTCAAATAAATAAATAAAATCTTTAAAAAAAAATAAAATAAAATAAAAAATAAAGGGAGCTTGATGTTATTTACTAACATTCCCTATAATTTCCAAACTTTAATTTTCTTTGGAAGGAAATAAGAATTGGGAAACAATAATAGCTGATATGTCCTGAAAGTCTTTGTATCATTTTATCTTCCCCCTACAAGAGGTACCGTAAGACTCTCTTTTAACATAAAAGGAAAGTGAGTCACAGAAAAGAGATGTAACTTGGGGCGCCTGGGTGGCTCAGTAGGTGAGGGGTCTGACTCTTGATTTCAGCTCAGGTCAAGATCTCAGGGTCATGAGACTGAGCCCCGCGTCAGGCTTCACACTCAGTGGGGTGTCTGCCTGGGATTCTCTCTCCCTTTCCCTCTACCCCTCTGCCCCACTCACATTCGCTCTCTCCCTCTCTGAAGTAAATAAATAAATAAAATCTTAAAAAAAAAAAAAGAAAATTTGTGCATTTAAAGTGTTTTGTGTTGGAGTTTTCCTTGGGCCTTACTCCTGGAGGTACTGCAAAGCCAGGAGCAGACAGAGCAGGCACTGGGCTTTGAGAATCACTGAACGTCACTCATCTACACCTCCCAGGTAGTATAAATGAGATCTACATTAGCTCTGGGAACCCACCTGGCTCCTCAGAATATAACTGTTAAACCTGCGAGCATTGTCTAAATCCATTCTTAACACTGAATGGGTCAAATATTTTCTTCCTATACTGCAAAAAATCCCAATGAATCAGTCTGCTTGGCTGATGTGGTCAACATTTGAGGCGTCATCTGCAACACTTATACCTGTCTGCCATCAAAATTCTGATCAGAGGCTGGGATATTCAAAACCTGCTTGACTAGAATGAAGATACATCCCTATGCCTCCATGATTTGCATATGTGTGTGTGTGTGTATTTTAATTGTGATACATTTCTCTAAATCCTCAGTCAAAAAATCTCCCCTCGGGTGGATGGATGGCTGATCATGAATAGAGAAAAAAACCCCACATTTATTAAATGACAAAGGAGTGCATACAACAACACATAAACCACAAACTTTGAATGAGAAGATCAACACGTTAGGGTTAACCGGTCCTAGATTAATGCATGCCCTTGCATGCTGGAATGACCGTACAATGATTCTGAAAACAGATTACAATGTCCTCAAAGACTCTGAGGTATCTTTACTACGCCTTCAACAGTGAGGGAGGAAGGCACCAAAGGGAAGAGAAGTATGCCGTATATTGACTGGCCATTATTGTGGGTTGAATTATGTCTTCTATAGAGATTATGTATGCCAAAGCCCTAGCCCCTAGTACCCGTGCAGGTGACCTGATTTGGATACAGGATCTCTGCAGATGTCATCAAGTTAAGATGAGACCATACTGGATCAGGGGAGACCCTAAACCAATGACTCACGTCCTTACGAGAAGAGGGAAATCTGGACACAGGCATAGACACTCAGGAAAACGTCATATGGAGACCAAAACAGATTGGAATGAGAGATCTACAAGCCAAGGAATCCCAAGGGTTGCTCTCAACCACCAGAAGCTAGGAAGAGGCAAAACAAAAGATTCTTCCCGAAAGCCTTCAGCGAGAGCATGGCCTGCTAATACCTTGATTTCAGGCTTCCAGCCTCCGGAACTGAGAGAGAATCAATTTCTGTTGTTTCATGCCCCCCGGTTTGTGGGAGTTTGTTACAGCGGCTCCAGGAGACAAATACAGCCACCCACCAGCAATAACAGGTAATTCCAGGGCCAGAAAAAGCCACCTTACAACGCATGAGCATGCAAGTCAAGGGACACAGGTGGCTCATCTTACCTTCACTTCTCTGCTGTCATTTGGAGACAGACCTGGATTCTCCTCCTGGCCCTTTTGCTTACTGGATGTGTTCACTTAGGAAAACACAGCAAATTCTCTGAGCTTTAGCTTCCCCACCTAGAAAATGGGGCTGACCTAATTTACCTTCGAAGATCATAATAAAGAATCTGCATCGGGTACACAAAGCTGCCTTGCGGATTGCTTGGACACAGGGTGGCTAGTAGAATTTACTAGTATCTTGGAAATAGAACTGCCCATACAAAAATCATAGTCGCATTGGTATGGGCAAGGGGAGAAGTAGCCTGCAGATTCAGCCTTCCTTAGACACGTTCTTTGGAAGTCACAAGTAAAGTAACCGGTAAGAAAGATGAAAGACCATGGTATGGAACCAACACCAGGTGTGCAGTGGACACAAACCTTGGCTGTGTTGATCCATCGGACTCTGGGGAGGACCCATTCCTGGGTGAGGTGGTCGCATACTGGAGCCCTTCATGGATCCACAATGGATATCTTCCACAATCCCCTTGTCATGCAGACCATCGATGGGCTGAAACATTTAAAGGACATCAGTTAGAGGCCTCTTGAAGGTACAAAATTTCCATCTGGACCTTTTAAGATCCCTCACTTTTAAAGTCTTCAAAACTGTGGCATAATCATCTATTGCTCATAGGACAGACATATATTTTCATACTTATACTACCTGTATTATTACATAGACTTTATAGGTGGGGACAAAAAAAATAAGACTACACCAACAGGGTCAGTGAAACTATCCATGCGTCGAAAGTTAAGGCTTTAAAAAGTTGGATTTTTTTTTTTTTGTAATGTCAAAGGCCTACAAATAAAAATGAAGTCCTGCTCACAAATATAAGCCATTCTTCCCTACCCTTTTAAGTAAGTCCTGAAACCTGTTGTAGATTGAAGTTAGTCCAAAGTCTGAAGGAAGCCTATTTGAAATGTCTGTGATGATGTATTATTTTTTTTTTTTTGGGTCATTTTTTTTCATCAGAGAGGAAAGAACTATATGGAAAGTTTCAAAGTCGAAACCAGAAAGTTCCATGCAGTCGGGAAAAGAGGAAGAGCCGGGGTGGAGCAGAGTACTGCCAGAGAAGGAAGGTACGACGGATGAATCCGAACCACAGAGAGAACCCAACTTGAAAATGTTTTAAAGGCAGAGTTTGGAAAAAAAAAAAAAAAAAAGTCAAGATCACAGGGACTCAAACCAGGACGTGAGGCCTCATGCCTAACAAGCACACGATAAAGAGCCATTGAGTTGACATTAATCCAATCCAGAATTGGGCAACGGAGCATGTGTTTGAAAAAAAAAAGGAAAAGTCTATTCCTCCCCAAACTGTAAGAGCAATTTTCAGAACCGCCTGAAAGAAATAGTTCCAGGAGTTTATAGAAACCAAATGACTTCAAGCAAGAAAGTATGAGTGTTTGCAGTTTTACAGAAAGGAAAGTTAATTTCTGCAGAGTCAAAAGCACGCACTTGAAAAGAGGAAAAATTTGCCATAAAGAGGATGTTCAGAAGAAAAATGGGAAGAATTTGATATAAAGAGTGTCTCTGAGTCTGTTAAATAGTAATAATAGGGAGGAAATCAAAGCAACACAAGCAGATGTATTTAGGCCACTTGTTTATTTATTTCCAGTGATGTTGAAAAGCAAAGAGCTGAATCTCAGAGGGAGAAGGAGGAGAAAGACAAGGAATAGAGCTGCCTTGTAAAAGGACTCTGAGAGAGTGAAGGCATCTGGTCAGCAGGTGTGAACTCAGGCACTTAACCACGTCCCCACGCAGGGGCTGGGAGCAAGGAAAAGCAGGATGGCAAAAAATGCAAACTCTCAGCAAAACAAAAGAAAGTGAAACAAAAAAAGAGTATCAAGGGGGGTGGGTATGAGAAAATGTGACAAAGACACTAGGTCACAAAACAGAAGGGATCAGAAGAGATAATCACCCATAGAAACAACCCAGTGCAAAAATCTACCAATGACCCAACATTCAGTCATACCTTTTTACCTTCCAAATGCCTAAATAATACTAAAGGTCAGCTAAATCTTTCCTTCACAGTTTATCTTTCATTTGGGAGGTGAGACAGCCTCAAGTCGTTCTGAAATTATTCAACCCACTTGGACTGAGGCCGACGAGTGACAAATCAGACCTATAATAGCTCCCAAATTAATTTAATATGAACACAAGACAATGTAATGACTTCAGTATGTCTAGATGCTCAATATGTCTCTTCAAGAATATGATACAGGAAATAAGCAGCTTTATTTCTTTAGATACCTGACAAGTTAAAAATGTGTTTAAAAAAAAAAACAAAAACAAACCTCAAAAGCAGAGAGAGAACATGGGGATACGATGCGGGATATCCAGGACACGTTGTTAAAGGAAAAGAGGAAGTTTCAGAGTAATTAACAGTGATGACATGACTGTATTATGGTAAAAGGAAAACAAAACAAAAAAATCAGACCTGTATGATACGCCTACTTGGGCTTACACAGGACTTTTCACTGAACAGGGAGAAACATGAGGTATAAAAAGCGAGCACAAAGCTGTTACTTTGGTGAGGCCAGGATTAACTGTTTCTTTATCTCAGTACAGTTTTACTTTTCAAAATAAGTATATATTACTTTCCTGATTTGAAAATCATCAAATAACAAAATTTGTAAAAAAAAAAAAGAAAGAAAGAAAGAAAGGAAAGAAAATTAAAGAAAAACCCTCTGGGCTCCAATGCCCTACCTTAAAATTGACCTACAGTCCTATAGGATTAGAGGAAAGACTTGCTCTTTTTTGATATAATCTTTCTGTTTTAAACCAGGATCTTCCACGGTTTGCCTACTTAATACCAAGAGGCAGCCCCATCACCCCGTCCACCTGTGACGTCGTCCGAAAGCGATAGAAAACCTCTACCTGTCTTATCAGGTACAACCCTCGGGTCACGTGTGGTGTGGCTCACTGAGTTTCACTGGCTCCTTACTCCCTTTTAAAGCAAACTGTCACAGGACCTGGCCGGATTTCTCAAGAGGCAATTCTTTCTTCTTCGCATCTCCTGTGAAAGGCCTAACGCCAAGTTGTACTGATAGGATCATTCCTACAGCAACAATCCAAGCCTCATAAATAGAAGATTATTATAACCTCAGTCCAAAAACAGACAAATGGACCCACCCCCCTTGATACTCTTTTTTTGTTTCGCTTTCTTTTGTTTTGCTGAGAGTTTGCATTTTTTGCCATCCTGCTTTTCCTTGCTCCCAGCCCCTGCGTGGGGACGTGGTTAAGTGCCTGAGTTCACACCTGGGCAAAATCCCAGCCCTCTTCCAAAATCAGAAAAAAGCCACTTGACAGAGGGGATAGCAAAGTACATTTTAGGGAGTCCCCGGAAACTATTTCATTTCGATAAAGCCTTCAAAAAAAAAGCCTTAGAAAATGACTCGTTTTCTTTCCACTCTGTGGGATCTATTTTTTTAAATAAATATCAACACTCTTAGGGAAGAATAAATTTCAATACATCCATTCGTGGATGATATGTTATTTTACATATACAGTTGGAAAAAAATCAAGACTTATGCGTGAATACACTTACGCACCAGGCCCACAGCCCACAACCCACAAATCACAGCATCTAATTGTCAGAACTGCAAATCCTATCTAGTATTGTTCAAAAAGCCAAGATCTGATCTTCCTGTACAACGTCTGTAACAATAACAGAGCCTCAGAACGTATGTTTTTAATAATATACAAGATAAGACAGAGACCTCGCTTGATTCTCTTATTAACAAGAGTAGGGGGGAAAAAAGAGGGGGAGGGGATTATCAGGGATTTTAGCCATCCATGACTCAGAAGACGAGAGTGAACAAGAAAATAAACTCTTACCTTATGCATTTGGTGTATGCCTTCCTGCGGGAAGTCGGCAGACCCCATTGTCGGCATAGGGTGTGAGACACTGGGAGGTCCAGGGCTCGGCCCCATCATACTGTGCACAGAACCCGGGGATGGCCCGGGTCCTGGACTAGGTCCAAGAATGGGTCCGGGCGAGGGTCCGGGCCCCGGCGAAGGCCCTGGATGGGGCATCGCGCCAGGGTCTGTGGGTGTGGACATCTACCTCTCCTGTCTCTGCCAGTCAGTAGAGGGATACTGAGTTGGAAGGAAGAAAAGAGAAAGGAATGTCTTAAACATGATGTTAAGATCAGAATGAAACAGTTGTTAGTCTCTCATGGTGCCATTTCTGTAACAAACATCAAACAGAACTGCCCTGTCTCGTCCAGATGTTTGAGGGAGTGTGATATATATCCATCTGCCCTAGTCTTTATGAAGACCACTTGTTTAAAAGAAAAAAAAAAAAACACTCTAAATGATTCCCCAGAAAGATATAAATCATCCAAGATACAAAAAAAGACCCACTGGAGAAACTCAAATTTAATGCATAAGCAGAATTCTAAACAAGTTTGAAATTTATTACTGAAGTCAACAGATGCTCTCCATTACTTACTGGCTTGGGCACCTTACAAGTCATTAACCCCCCAAGCCATTAAAACATAAAACCCCTGAAAAAGTATCCAACCAAGACACATTTTCCTAAGTAAATGAGCGTCGGAAACTTCACAGAAAATTCTAGACAGTTAAAAGAGGGAAAGAAGTACAATTTCAGAAACTGAGAAGGAAAGAGAATTACCCATCATGGGAAAAGCAGAGGCTGTGGGATGTGGGACTCAAACAAACAGGGGTCCGAAGAGCCACACAGAACAACCACTGGCTGAGACTGAAATGCAGTGTTGGTAAGTGTATCAGCTCCGGGCCCCACGCAGCAAGCAGCACCTTCCCCGCCCCCCCGCCCATGCAGCATTGTGTTCTCCACCATCTCCACTGTGCCACAAGTGATCAGAAGAAATGTTTGTTTACTTTTTTTTTTCAAGATTTTATTTATTTATTTGACAGAGGGAGAGCGAGCACAAGCAGAGGGAGAGGGAGAAGCAGGCTCTCTGCTGAGCAGGAATCCCAACAGGGGGCTCGATGATGATGCCAGGACCCTGGGATCATGGACCTGAGCCGAAGGCAGACGCTTCACCAACTGAGCCACCCAGGCGCCCCAGAAGAAACGGTTTCAAGTGTGGTCCTCCTGCCGGCTCATGAACTGAAGACCACTTGGAGAGCTGAGGCCAGGATTCATCCAAGGCTTCTCTGTGGTCCAGGATCCCCAAGAGAAGTCAGCTGTTGACTACCAGAGTGGGCCCAGCATGGACAAGGTGAGAAAATCCCAGTTCTCCGATTTCAGGAAAGCCGTATTCCATCACCCACACTCCAAGACTTCTTGGCAACCCCTCCCCTGGGGAACCGCCTCATGGTGGGGGTATGCCTGCATCTTGGACATGAGCCAAAACGAGCAAATAAGCCGTTTCCCAGACTCCCATCAATGAGAGCTGAATAGCACTAGTGAGAGTTAAGTGTGACACCAGACCTCATGTTATCTGGGGCCACACACACCCGTACACACAAAAACTTTTCTGCTGTCAACCTCACAAAACACAGAATGAGACCCCCTCAGTGATTTGCTTACCCACTATTTAGTGACAGGGCTGGGACTTAACCACAGGGGTCTAACCCAGCCACTCACAGCCAGGGTCTTTCCACAGGGAGATGAGGTTACAGCGGAAACACAAAAAACCCACATTAGTTCCATTCTTAGCCACCTGCTCTCCCCTCTTGCTGAGTCTCTAGAAGGTGACGGCCTTGAGGGCAGGGGTCTTGCTCTTCTTCACTCCTCTGTGTCCTCGGCACCTCCAGCCTGCGTGGAGTAAGGGCTCAAAAAAAAGATCTGAATGAACTGCCCATGAATTCCAAGGGCAAACTATTAATAGCGTCCGTTATTTTATAAATAAAAAATTAGAGAGTGATCCGTGCCTGAGCTCTGTTCACATAAAGAAATCTAAGAAGGGTGGGCAAGAATTTAGGCCATTCTGGTAAATGAATTCGGGCTAAAACGGGAAGCAATGAAAGGCTACGTTGGAGCGATTATAACACAGCGTTTTGCTGATACAAGACAGGACTCAGAGAACCCAGCTGAAGTGGTTTCTAAAACAACAGAGAAGCTTCAAGGGTGAATTATAGCCTTGAATTCACTAGAGAGCCAAATGTTATTATTTATTCTTTGTGATTAACAAAGCAGGCAGAAGTAACTTTTTTTTTTTTTACCTTTTTTAAACTTTTTTTTACATTTTTTTGGCGTGCCACCCCCTCACATACAGGCTCGTTCAGTCAGCGTCTTAAATTTAGGAAGCTGACGTCAATTCAGGGGTACTACAAGTTATAATGTTCTTTCATGTATATCAGCAAACTAATAGACCCCTTTATTTTTTAGTGAATAAAAGGAAATTGCTTACTTCCTGTTATGGTTTACCTTGAAATGGGCTTCAATAGCTCTTCCGGTAACCTATCACCAGTCTGAACAATGAAGATACAAACACTCAGCCTGGCAGTCCCCACTTGCCACATTTTCTATTTTAACGTATGTTATCCCATAATCCTCCCTCGTGCCTATGGGATCATTTTCATGGGGGAATCTGGCAGAATGCTGTGATTACTTGTATGCAGTCCCATAAAAATGCTCCTCATTTTTGGTTAAAGGCAACTCCTAAAAAGCTTCTTAAAGGGGAAAACCGACGAGAGGGGGGGAATGGAAAAGTACTGGCTACTTCAGGGGAATGTGAACACAGGGACGTGCTGTGGAGGACACTCCTGAGTAAGAAGAGAAGCGTCTGATGCATGGGCCTAAGGCGCGCGTCCATGAAGCAGCACCGACGAACAACAGAAAGTAGCTCAGAGAAACCGCCAAGTGTAACAGAGGAGGAGCCTTGAGCCCAGCTAACGAAGGGCAGGAATCTGGAGGATCATCCAACTCTGGCCTGGGATACTCCAGCTGGTCTGATCGGGTGTCCAGAGACTTGGGTTCCTTCTGGTCTTCTTGTCCCGGGGCCCGGGGCAGAGTGCTTTTCCTCTGTAGAGCCTTTTTGGTTCTTCTGGGCTTGAGGAGAGAGTATCTCAAGGCTTCCCCCACCTGTGCACCTGGGACTCAAAGCATCTTGAGGACTTGCTCCAATGCTGCGCGCAGTGGGGTTCGGGGTGGGGCGGAATCTGGGCTGTCCCGGGATTCACGCCTCGCCACCAGCACCCAGGAAGACTGAAGAGGAGTGACTCTCAAAGAGGAGGTCACCGCCCTGGCCTCCGCCCTCCCTCTGCATTTCTGCTGGCAGCTTCATCGCACAGCTCAAGGACATAAGCAGCCTGTCTCACTGCGTAAAGCAACTCGGCCGATGTAAATTACAAAGCGGCTCAGCTCTCAAGCGGAGGCGCGGGGCATTACTAAGTTAGCGTGGTTAAGGTTTAAAGTCCAGGGTTGGCCAACTCAGCTTCTCCTTCACCAACCACACCGGGTGTCCTAGGAATCAAACCCTTTTCTTCCTCCTTCAAAGCACTGATGACAGGATGCAGACAGGCAGTGATGGGGGTGGGCACAGTGGGGACCCGGGAGGGGACGGCTCAGATCACCAGGGCAGGGTAGGCGCAGGAGGTCTCCGCACAAGGTAACACTCAAAATCTGCGTTTCTTTAGTGTTGGGAGGTAGGGTGGGGAGAGTAATACATTGTCACAGATGAGCACGGCCTGTTCGACAGGAATGTGGCTGAGAGAATGAAGGAAACGTGTCTGGGGTGGGGGGACAGGGGCGTAAAGCACCGCAACCCCCCCATGCATGGCACTGCGAGTCCCCGGCCTCCCGTAATGCACTCCCTGAGGGCTGGCCGCTGTGTTCTTGGCCAAGGCATTTTCAGCAGTACGCCCTGTCTTTTTCTGCGTCCTAACCCTGCCTTTACAACGGGGGAATGTTGTGTTTTTAAAAATAAAAGTTGTCGGAGCTTCCCACAGCTGCAACCACCCCAGATGCCTTCCTCCTTCCTTCTCCCCCTAGCTGAACAGGCCCCAGCACACCCATCAGCATATTAAATGAGTTCAACTTCCTGGAATTGGAAGGGTCGCCAGTCTAACCACGACAGCTGCGACCAAACATACACCTTTTCCTGTCCTACTGCGATCGGCTGGAGCACCACTGACCCCCGCCTTGCGGGGATATTTAAACACACCCACGTGGGCTTCACAGTCATTGGAGCAACCTGAGTTGAGGACACATTTGGTCCCATGCCCATGTAAAAGGTGAGGGCAGGAAGGAAGGGACCACACAGCTGGCCCGAAGTCAAGTCTGTCAGCGGAACTTTGCGTCTCTTGACCCAGCCCAGGGCTGAGCCACTGCACCCAGGGGACAAGGCCGGCCACCAGGCAGGAGGGCTTTCACTCCGGCTGGAGACCCACCACGCGCAGGAACCAGGAGCGGAGAGAGAAGGGCCTAGAGGCCGAGATGGAAACAACGGGAGGGAGATTCTGCCAGGCTTAGGCTTTGGCTGTGATGCTAGCTCAACCTATGAAGGGACAGAGAAGTGAAAAGAAGCTCCGGAGAGAGTAGGAGGTGGACACGACATCATGGATGAAGATCTGCGAAGTCTAGTCAAACATCCAGAGGGCCCGTTTTACTTATCTGTTCCCAGCTGTCCTGAATCTCCACAAGGGATTGGGCACAAGGCAGGTAGGATGCACAGAAAGGCCCCGAGGGCGTACTCCAAGGCTCTGCAAGTCTGATAGGGAAATGGGACTTTTCCATAAATAGCAGTAGGGGCGGGGAGAACAAATGGAAGGTCCTGCAAGACGAGAAGGGCTACAGCTAAGGGCAGACAGGGGAGAGGGCTTGCAGCCTGCAGGGTGGAAGAAGGAAGAGGGAATGTGGGGAGGCTTCCTGGAGAAGGAGGCCTTTCAGCTAGGCCTCCAAGAAAAAAACATAAATAAAACCAACCGACCAAACAAACAAATAAATAGATGCATGTCTCCCAGACACTTTTGTTTTCTAGTCCCAGAAAGGGTTTTGGGGGAAACACGACCACCCCGACTAGACAGCACCTCTTCAATAACTCTTCACCAAACGTGGCGAGGAAGCGTGGGCAAATCCTGCCTTTTCCACACATCTTTATCACTGCTGGACTTGCAGAAAGACTGGGGTATGGGCCAAAGGTGGAACATTAGAAATAAACATTAGG